ATAGATCAAAATATACTAATTTGATTGAAACATGAATTTGATTGGTTAAAAAACGAAATAGGTCGAAAAAACCTGTAATAGTAATTTTTTTACAAATATAACTCAAAAATTAAGTCAAAAAACTATCCTCTATAATTTAATTAAAAATGCTAACTCTAATCCTAACCTAACCCCAAACTACAATGTTGAATTCTTAGTAAAAATTACAGGAAAAAATAATTTTTGTGAGTGTGCTGTCCAAGAAGTTGATCTTAATATTAATCTAATATTGACCTAAAAGAACCAAAAGAATGCAAAGAAAGCATCACCAAAAGAATGATAAAAGAACCACAAAGAAGTAATGAAAGAATACCAGAAAAGCACTAAAAAAATAACAAAAAATCCTGAAAAAGTAACAAAAAAAAATGTTGACCTAAAAAAAAAAGAACATGAAAAAGTATTAAAAAGAATAAACTATCGAAAGAACAACCAAGAAACTACTAAAAGAACAATGAAGAATGATGAAAAAACTCCAAAAGAATGATGAAAGAACCACAAAGAAGTAACAAATAAGCACCAAAAAACTACTAAAAAGTGACCGAAAAAAGAATGGGAAAGAAGCACCAAAAAACAACACAAAAAGTTGGTCACTAGGGTCTTACAGGTAGACCCGTTACTTACCCGGGTTGACATAACTGCAACCTGATACCCGACCCACCTAGGGATTCGATCCTATCTTTGACAGGCCATCCGGATTCTATTAAATCCGGATTGAATCCGTGTCAGATTAGATATAAAGCTAGCTTTGAGAACACCCTTATGTCCGTTATTTAAGTTCTTTGACAAATCCGAATAAAAATCTCTGATCTGGATATTTAAATTTATTATCTATATTTAAGGATCAATTCAGATGGTCGAATTACGGATCGATTCCCTAGACCCACCCGCGGGTGACCCAGGTGATGCCTATCCGGGTCCAACCTCCGATCAAAGTGTATCAATTTGTAATACACAAACATTTAGAGATAGTTGATAGTTTGAATCATGTTTCTACAGACAGTTTATATTTAATTCCTTTTATTTTAGATACTGCTTACTGTGCCTCACTGGATGATGCCTATCCGGGTCCAACCACTAGCATTTCTCTACCAAGTGTATTTATTAGGAGAATAAACTCCTAATGTTAATAATATAGAGTTAGATGGGAGAGTATAATTAATCTATTGATACAGCACATTCTCATTATAGTGAAATCATAAGGCTGATAAAAAATCTGTTATAGTTGCGTCGAGAGAATTATTTGTAATTTAAAGCAGTTCATTATACTGGGTTACTATAGTGAATTACACTATTGATTGTATCATTTTCTTATAATACTTGCTATGCTTAGCTTTTATAATATAATCAGTAATTCTAACAAGACTTGTAAACCTATTAGTATTTAGTCATAATTTTTAGGATGTGACAATATATATAAATAAATCATTACTGTTATGCATAGACAAAGGCTTACATTTGAGTTTTGGATCAGCAAGATTTCCAAGATAGTCCTTTATTATACTGTTAAATGATTGTACAAAATACAATAAGCAGTAACAGTAAGAAATGTTTATCTATGCACATTTTAATTATTTAGAATTTAATATGGTTTAAATCTCTGTTCACTTTGTTTAACCGTACTCGTGGAAGGTGAAGGCAATTTTGAATTTCTTATCGTTTTAGATTGATGAGATGATGAAGAGGGTGATGACGTTTTTACTGAAGATGAATTAGATGATTGACCTTGCTTCATTTGTGCTAATTTTCGTTCCAATGCTTGTATTTTTGCGTCCGTGCTTTAAGAAAGAAATTTCAATATCAATTCGTAATTGAAAAAAAAACAATATATATACGTCGTAGTTGAAAAAACAATATACCTAACATTAACCATTTGATGTGACTTTAGCAATGAAATAGTTGTCGGTCTATTACTCGCAGCTGTAGATGACCTTTTCTTTAAACCGCCTATGCTTTTACTATCACAATTTTCTGATGCCTACATAATTATAACTAATTACTATCATAATCACAGTGTGTTAAGAAATTTATGAATGTTTACTTTTATTTACCGCATATGCAAATGTAACTATCATGGAGCGATTCTTAATTACTTTAGAGTGCATTGCTGTCATTGCTTTCAATGCTTCCTAGGAATATTAATAATTATAAGATGAAAGCTTAATACAACAGTTGATTCATCTAAAAAGAACCACTTTTCACAAAGAGAATTAAAATAAAATCTCTCACCTCCTTCTTACTAAATTCTAAAAAGCAGTAGCCTCTTGGTTGACCACGTTTGGGTCCGCTCTTGTGAAAAAGATAATCGAGATGCGTTATTTTTCCATAAGGTTCGAATAGCTTTACTACGGTATATCTAGCAAGAAATGTTGGTTTATACATTGAATGAACGAGTAAATAACGAATAAATATTATTACTTACTCATCGATAGCAGAATCTAGGTTGCCGATATATAAACGTTTGTCATCAAGCTTGTATAAATTCACGAGATAGAATTATTTAAAGCTCAAAGAAATCTAAACAAGCATAAATGGGACTAGTAAATAACATAGAGAGATAAATTTAACCTTAGAATAAATACCTTGTTTGAAGATCCTTGTGCTGTTGACATCTTTTTTGACTTTGTTAAAGATCTAATTCAATTGTTTTTACGTTATGAATACCACTTAAAATTTCAAGTTACACGAGAACTGCAATGCGGATCATTCGCAGATCATGCATTGTCATAAACCATATCGATAATTATTTGTTACTTGACATTTCCAAACGTCTTAAGTTCTTTAACGTGACGTAACGTGTTGAAAATGAAATTTATTCCAGTGAAGGAACGTGAAAATTCGTGTAATATAACCGGGAGTACTCTTATTCTGGTAAGATTGCTTCATTTAGAGTAATATTTCATATGTTGTATAATAGTACTCAATATTTTTTACCTAAAATAAGCCTGCAATTTCCATTGGAAATGTTCCTCAACTCGCAGTTGATCTTTTAATTACTACTTTGAATTTACAACGAATTGGGTTCCTGGAGGATGAAAATGTTATTCCAGTGGTCGGTGTTAACGAGCACCTGCCAAGAGGCATTACTGTCGCTATTGAAGGTAAGAATCGATTTTTCAATTATTTAGTTATACATCAATATCCGATAACAAGACTCTTATTTATATAAAATAGTATATCAATCTGATGATAATAAATGGACAATTATTCAACAAAGAGCTCCAGTGATTAAGGTAAATTTTGGCTTTTTTTTTTTTTGATTAGCTTGCGATTGTTAAAATCAGAACTCTTGATCTTTCAGAAAAAGTGGCATATTTTTGCTGAAAATTTATTAGCTTTTATAAAGCAATTCCAATTTTCGAAAGTAATTTTATTGTCGAGTGCAGATGCTACTAGAAGAATAGATATTCAACTTACAAGGTTTGTATATCATTTTTGGCTTTGACTATACCAGTTTAATTCTAATATTTAATTACCCTAATCGAAAGCTTACCACTTCGAATCCTTACTACACCATCATTCCCAAATGATATCTTTGAGCAAGCAACAAAACTTGGTTTAAAAACTTTGGAAAAAACTTCAAATGATGACTATGTTTTAAAACAAGACAAGCAAGACAATGATTTACCAAAAATTCCTGGCGGTGGTATATCAAAGTTTCTGTTCCATAAAAGTCAACAAGAAAATATACCATTGATAATGATTATTTTTTTTGCGATAGAAGGAGGTAACGAGTTTATCAGTTATAGTTAAATCTAATTTTTAATTTATATTATGATTGTGATAATTCTTTTCTCTCCAGATAATACACAGGATGCCTTCTTACTTGCAAATTACACAAATTCATTATTAAACTTGATTCCTCAACAAGGTAATATGTATTTCATTTATTTATGGTTAATTAATTTGTTAATATTTATTGTAATGTATTAAAATGGTTAATTAATATGTTAAATGGTTAATAATTGATAATTATAGAAATTCCTATAACAAAACTCTGGAAAACACCGGCAAGTTGGAATTATTTGTTTGGTAATCCTTATCAACAAGAATTATATCAATAATATCAATAATGTTCATATTTAAAAAAATATTATCGTTATTGCTGTACAATTTTGCATCAGAATATTTTAACCTCATTAGGATGTCTATCAATTTCATGTCTATTGAATCAAAATCAAATCTTTTCTATTTAAAGTGTTCACAATAATAAAATGAATATAATCTTTATTATTCACCTTCGTAACTTTCGTAACTTAATATAAAAACTGTATAATTTATTAAAATTTTAGTATCAAACCCGTTTACAAGCCTCATCAAAAAAAAACCTTCAATAGAAGTTATTGTTAAATAAAAAACACAGTAAATGTTTCAAATAAACAAATAGCTATAAATGTAAACATGTAAGATTATCATTGATATACCGTATCCGATCATTCGATTATTTTGTCGTCTTTGAATTCACTTACCCACGTGAAGGGAAGGGTCACTATTTAAATAATATGATGATACAAATAAGTTCGAGTTTGTCTGTTCACTTGTAAAAAGGAAAAACAAAAAAAAGTTGATAATACAATAATTCGTACGTCTTTTATTCTCTGTATTTTACAATTTTCAACAACTTTTTAACTAAATAATTATGAATAGCCTGCAATCATGGGATAAAGTTGAAATGATATTACACTACAATAGGAAATTTTATGCCCATAAAAATCGATACGCTTTGATCTGTTTCAATATTATTGTTTTTTTTTTTAGTTTTTTTTTTAGTTTTTGTTTTTTTTTTGTTTTTTTTTTTGTTTTAAACTTCAATAGAATAAGCTAAATTGGTTTAGTTTTTAAAACGCATCATTCATTTATAACAATGAACAGAAAAATAAAAATGTATACGATATATCGCCAAGGATGTGACAAACCAGCCCAGCTTTCTTATTCTTTGTTTATTGCAAAAGAACAAGAAACAAAAAAAAAGACTGTATATCGGTAATTTCAACTCTAAAAGAGAGAAAACTTAATTTGTAAGTAGAGTGCGCAATGCGCACTATTTTATCGCGAAATTTTTTCATAAATTGATACATTTATTGTCTTGCCTGTTTTGTTCAATTCCTATAAAGACCAACACAACCACCACACCAAATAATAATACGGTAACATCAAAATAAAATTCGTACGCTCGTATTTTGCGTTATTTACCAACCTCGCTTTCATAGGAATCCGGAGGTGGAACTGCGTGATAAGAGCTCCCTTGTTTTTTATCTTCATATGGCGACGTTGGAGGTGAGGTCGTAGTGCTAGGAGTTGTTGATGGCGCTGATGAAGGTGGTGGAGCTTGTGTAGCTGGTGCTTGATACCCTGCGGTTTGATAGTTAGCTGTGGTTTGATACCCAGCATATCCATAATAATAACTAGGATCAACTGTTTGTGCAGTAGTTTGTTGATAATAAGGATATTGTGAATATTGGTAATATCGAGATTGATTATAAGGGTTATAAGGATTATTCCAAGTTGTCGCAGCATTCTGGCTACCAGCTGTATAGGCATTACTAGTAGTTGTGGCATTGTAAGCGTTTGCATATTGACTAGAAGGGATAGAGGTACTAGTGGGTGACGAACTTGTTGCTACAGTTGCTGTCGTTGTAGATGGCGGTGGTGGAGGGGGATAATTGGGAAGTGGAGGTTGCGATGTTGCAGTTGCAGTCGCAGTTGTAGTTGCAGTTGGGGTGGCAGTCGCAGCCGCAGTCGTAGTACTGGGAAGTGGTGGTGGAGGCGGTGGATTTCCAAGCGGTGGTGGAGGACCACTAGGCAATGGAGGATTTGCAGGAGGGGGAGGATAAGTCTGTAATTCCAAATTATATTAATAAAAATATAAAGTGTAAAAATAATTCTTTAAAATTGTTAAAAAGAATTCATACCCCAGAAGGAGGTAACGTCGGTTGTCCATAAATAGGTGGACGTGGATATGGTGACCTGCCATACGAGGGATATGCCGCTTGTTGCGCTTTGTGCTTATCCCATTCTATCTTTACCGTATTAATGAGGTCTTCACATAATTTTTTTGCCCTATCCAATCCTTCTTGACTCCAGCAACTATAATAGAGAGTAATTTGAATCTGTATCTATTTGTTAATATCTTACCAATCGGTCTAAAACATACGTGATGTGAATATGAAGTGGTTCAAAAGCCTCGGTACCCGAAGTAGGTTCAACATAGCCTGATCCTCGACCTTTAAGCTGAACCTTCGCACCTGTCTCTTGTTGAATATGTTTTACATAAGCACCCTGCGGGCCAACAATTTTAGCTCGAGCGTTAAATGTGCGATCAGGTTCAATTCCCACAAATACTTTATCTTGAACAAATTGCCGCTATAAAGGATAAATTAGTAAAATTTTTTATTTTTAAAAGGGATACAAAGAATTAAGAAATTTGAACCTACCCCTAAATGTTGTCCTGGTGGACGAGGTGTTGGTGTCGACGGTGCCGGAGTAAAAGTCTGTTCCATAAGCTCAGTAATTTTATTGATAGCAGCATTTAGAGCTTCCTTAGTTGATGCTGTCACATGCAAATAAAGAGGGGGATCCTTTTCGGTAGCGAGAGCCTTATCTGGGTAGTATTTCCCTCGTGTCGTCACATCTATCAATAATATATGTTTCTCGGTATAAATTATTTATTATTAATAAATAAGGATATCTTTGAAATAAATGATGCACCTGCACCAGTTTCTTTTTGGATCTAAATAATTGGACGATTTACATTAGTACACAGTGAAAGAAAAAATTTATTGATAGTAGAAATTGTTGGTAATAAAATATACCTGCTGTTGTGTTGCACCCTTAGTTAACAAATATCTATTTTTACAATCATTGATTGTAATATCATGAGTAAATTCCAAATCAGAATCTTTTATCGCCATCTTAGACGCTTTAGAATCCTTTACAGGTTACGTCATGATAACGAAATAAAAATCACGACCACAGGGTTAATTAAATGACAAGAAAAGACAAACGAGACTTAAAATATACCTCCGAACTGCCGTTTTCAGAAATATCTAATTTAGGTGTGACTATTAGTGGCTTTGCTGGAACCTGAATACCTTTAGCCGCAAGCATAGCGTTGATTTTTGCCGCTGCGACAGCTATTAATGCAAAGAATTAATAATAAAAATATTAGATCTAATCTTAAGAAATAATGTATGATATTTACCTGCAGCTATATTGGGATCTATTGAATCCGAGCTTGAAGGGGTAGGTGAAGGCGCACTAGATTCAGATGCGTCACTACTAGGATCAACTTTGGCCGACTTTGAGGTCGTGGAAACGGGCGGTGCTTCTTTTCCTTGGTCATCAAGATCCCATTTACGTTTCCGACTAACAATTCGTTTGATTAAAATTTAGTAAAAAACTGATGAAAAAGTATGGGAAGCCTTTTAGGATACTTAAACCTACGTTTTACTTTGTGTAGACATTATGATTTTTAAAAAAACTACAGAGAATATCAGACGAAAAACGTATGTAAAATGATTCGACTACAAGAGTTGTCCAGTATATGTGCATTTCGCAATCACATGTTAATATAGTGTGGCGCAGCGAGTCTAAACCATATGAGTTTACTGTT